TATTTATTCTTCATTGGGTTTTCTGTCACAGTAAAGATCTCCTCCAGTGACAAAACAACAAGCAAACAAGCATGATGGGACCCATAAACTAATATTTAGTTGAACAACCCTTTGAGCCAATCACTGCCATCATCAGGTGTTTCTGTAACTCAGTCAGACTTGTGCACCTGTTGGCAGGTGTTTGGATTTCACTGCTCATCAGCAAAGTGCTCTCATTTGTCCGGGACGTTTATTTCTTTAAATTGTTCTTTTCAAACACAATTCAAAAGCAATGTCTTTATTTTCCCCTGAATTATAATTTAGCAAATTTTTATTTTTTCGAACTTTTTTCACTTTCTAGTTATTTGAGTGTTTATTGTGAATTTTGCCTTTTCTTTAATGGAAGGGTATGAATACATTTGAGGATCACTGTACATATATACACATATTCATATTATAGAAATTAAAAAATAATTTTTAAAAAAAATAATGATCACGAAGGAAATTCTTGTGCCAGACAAATCTTTAAAAAAAAAAAAAGAGAGAGAGAAAAATAATAATAATTATAAACATATAATAATACACGCAGTGCCTAAATATGTGACTCCCCAGCTTTTGAATAACGTCTTAGAGATCGGATGTGTTTTTATGGGGCTGTGACACACACCCCGGTCAGGTGTGGCCTGAGCGCCGGAGGGTCGAGCTCTTCCGTCCGGCCCTCCTCCGCCCTTCAGTGCCGCAGCAGCCGCCGGGTGTCGGTGTGGGTCGGGCCGCGGAGCTGAGGGTGAACCGGCTTGGAGAGAGGTGAGTGGACGCTGCCCGGTGGAATAACGACTTATTTAACGGATAATTTGTCGGTAACTTTTATCGGTGCGTTTCGGGAAGTTGTTTATTTTATTTTTTTTGTACATTCCTCATTCCGCTCACCGGCGCCGCTTCTAACGGTTCGTTCTAAGTTCGGTTCGCGGCTCAAACGACGTCGCGCTGGGGGAGTAAAAAAATAAAAATCAGCCTGAACCGGTGCTGCAGCTGGACGGACAAGTTCAGCGGTGATTTCGGTAGTAATAATAGTAATACTAATTATACTAATAATAACAAGGATCGCTGGTTTTTCTGGTGACTGTTCGGTAAGACGCGCCTCGAACACACCTGCGCTGTCAGTCACACGCGGAAAACATACAATTATTTTTATTGCGCGTTTCCAGACGTGACTGCAGATATTGGAGGGCAAACTAATTATAGATGAGCTGCTCTGGGCTATAATTAGTGCCCTGCGATGGAGACTCGATATACGAGTGGAGCAAACAAAAGGCGGCGCGCTCCGAACAGCCTCCGTTCGCCGACGCTCTACCTGTTGGCAAACGAAGGCAGCAGAAGCGCCTCTGCAGCTCCAGGAGGAGAGGAACGAGGACCGCAGCCAGCCCGGTGTGTGTTTGCTCTGTGTCACGGGCTGCAGGGTGTCTAAATCTGCTGTGTTTGATCACAGTAAACAATAGAACAGCTCAAGAACAAGAACAACTACATGTTGACTCAGTTCTCCTGTGGTTAGATTGGATAGAACTGTACAGCACAGAGGACTACATGCGGTTTGGCATCCAAGCCGGTGTGCAAAACAAGCCAGTAAAGTGCAGTTCAGTGTGAGAGTGAG